ACGGCAAATGTTTGAACTCAGCTGGTGCCTGTTAGCTTGGGAGAGATGCATCTTTAGACAAGACCCTCTGAAGTGGGATTGTGCTCACTCCTTTCTCCAAACACGCTCCAGGCATGGAACGGTGTCAATATTTACCTGTCATTTGGCAGCGTTTAAAAGCAAAACACACACCAGTACAAATATCACGCGTGCTCCCATTAGGACTGTTTGTAGCCTAAGCGGAACAGGCGAACTTCAAAAATAAACACAGGAGTGAATGAAAACTGACAGGTTGCAATAAAGTTCTATGGGTCTGGGTTGCTGTGGGGTTTCCAGGCTGTCTGGCCATGATCCAGAAGCATTCTCTCCTGACGTTTCACCCACATCTATGGGAGGTTGTGAGGTCTAAGTTCTTGTGGGTTTTTTTGGGCTATATGGCCATGTTCTAGAGGCATTTCTCCTGACCTTTCGCTGCATCTATGGCAAGCATCTCAGAGGGAGTGAGTTTTCCAGGCTGTCTGGCCATGCTCCAGAAGCATTCTCTCCTGACGTTTCACCCACATCTATGGGAGGTATCCTCAGAGGTTGTGAGGTCTGCTGGAAACTAGGCAAGTGGAGTTTGTGTATCTGTGGAATGATGTGCAGGGTGGGAGAAAGAACTCTTGTCTGTTTCTGGCAAGTGTGAATGCTGCCATTGGCCACCTTGATTAGCATTGAAAAGCCTTGCAGCTTCAAAGCCTGGCTGATTGCTGTCTGAGGGAATCCTTTGTTTGGAAGTGGCTCTATGAATCATTTTTGGCAGAGAACCACCAAATTCTAGTTCTGGAAGAGGCCACAAGGGATATCCCATTCAACTCTTTTTTTTCCACTCTGGAAGACACAATCCAAGCCCTCCTGACAGATGGCCATCCCATCTTTGCCTCAAGGAAGGAGACTCCACTGGACTCCTAGGGGCAGCAACATATTCCACTTTGCTATTTTCAACCATTCAAGCTTGCTAATTGCAACATTCACACTTGCTTTAGACAGTCAAGAGTTCTTCCACCCTGGACATTATTCCACAGGTTGATATATTTATTATTATTTATTATTAACTTTATTTGTATACCACCCTTCTCAGTCCTCAGGTGACTCAGGGCGGTTTACAGAGGCAACGATTCGATGCCCAAGAACATCATAAAACAATTAATACATAGTATAAAACCAAACAAAAGTAATAAAAACATAAGCCATTTGTGTCTCCTAATTAAAAACATTATCCATCTCATCACTACCAGCAGACTGCCATTAGCCACAGATGCAGGTGAAACATCAGATGAGAATGCTGCAGGAAAATTGTCATAAAGCTCCATACACACACACACACATACACACCTCTCACTTTGCCTCACTACCAGCAGACTGCCATTAGCCACAGATGCAGGTGAAACATCAGATGAGAATGCTGCAGGAAAATTGTCATAAAGCTCCATACACACACACATACACACACCTCACTTGCCTCACTGCCAGCAGACTGCCATTAGCCACAGATGCAGAACAAAAATCAGGAGAAAATGCTACCAGAACATAGTCAGACAGCCCAAAAAACTCACAGCAACACAGTTACTTTACTCTCAGCTCAAGAATAGAAAACGGGATGTTGATGGGCAGGAAAAGAGATGTAAAGATGGACTTAAAGCCAAGCTTAAAAACTCTGGCATAAACACCTGGTCAGAGTTGGCTTGATGCGCCTTCCTCTTGGCATGCATCTCTCTTTCTCTCTCCATTCGTGCCTCTTCAAATTCTGCAGCACTGCTGGTCACAGCTGACCTCCACTTGGAGCGCTGAAGGGCCAGGGCTTCCCAGTTCTCAGTATCAATACCAGAATTTTTAAGGTTGGCTTTGAGCCCATCTTTCAATCTCTTTTCCTGTCCCACCAACATTCCATTTTCTATTCTTGAGCTGAGAGTAAAGTAACTGCGTTGCTGTGAGTTTTTCGGGCTGTCTGGCCATGTTCCAGTAGCATTTTCTCCTGATTTTTGGTCTGCATCTGTGGCTAATGGCATCCTCAGAGGTCTGCTGGCAGTGAGGCAAGTGAAGAGTGTGTGTGTGTATATGGAACTATATGACCAAGTTCCAGCAGCATTCTCTTCTGACATTTCACCTGTCGCTAATGGCATCTGCAGATGTTCTGCTGGCAGTGAGGCCAGTGGAGTGTATATATACCTGTGGAATAATGTCCAGGGTGAACTCCTGACAAAGGTGATGACAACTCCCATGATTCCAGAGCATTGATCCCTGGGAGTTAAAGTGGCGCAAAGCTGCATTCTGGAAACAGTGCAGCTCTGCAGCCCATCAAAACGAAGGAGAAGGAAACAATTGCTTTGAGGTTTGAAATCCTGAAATCCCCCCTGGGAGGAGCAGCGAAGGCAGATGCTTGGGAGGAACTGTCAAGGAGAAGGAGTCAGTGCTTCACAAAGTGCTTTTCTTCCCCCAGGGAGGCCCTCGACTCAGAAGTCAGGAGATGTTAACAACCGGTTCCTCGGTATCATCCGTGTTCCTCAAAGACTGAAATGCAAACTGTCAAACCCGACTCGCTCCAGTCTGAACCGCACAAACTTTGCCTCGTGTTCCATGTGTATGCAAGAGCTGTGTTGACAATGGAAATGTGGAACCATTTCTGCCTCCCTCAGCATTCTGGGGTTTGTAGTCCAGGAAGGCTGTTAAAGGCTCCTTCCTAAACTACAAACCCCAAAATTCTGCAAGACACAGCAACTGGATTTAAGGGGGATTCATTCTCTAGTGTGATGACGTCCCAAGGTTGCAATTATTCAGTTAATTATATACTCCAGAGGACAGGAGCAGGATTCAAAACGATCTTGACAGATGATGATGTCCAACTCTGTCACTCCTTCCCACCTGCTACTAAGGAGGCTGTCGAGGTCCTGAACCGGTGCTTGGCCGCTGTGACGGTCTGGATGGGGGCGAACAAATTGAAATTGAATCCAGACAAGACAGAGGTACTCCTGGTTAGTCGAAAGGCCGAACAGGGTATAGGGTTACAGCCTGTGTTGGATGGGGTCGCACTCCCCCTGAAGACGCAGGTTCGCAGCTTGGGTGTGATCCTGGACTCATCGCTGAGCCTGGAACCCCAGGTTTCGGCGGTGACCAGGGGAGCATTCGCACAGTTAAAACTTGTGCGCCAGCTGCGCCCGTACCTTGGGAAGTCTGACTTGGCCACGGTAGTCCACGCTCTGGTTACATCCCGTTGACTACTGCAACGCTCTCTACGTGGGGTTGCCTTTGAAGACAGCCCGGAAGCTCCAATTAGTCCAACGGGCGGCAGCCATGATACTAACAGGAGCGGGGCGCAGGGAGCACAACTCCTCTGCTGCACCAGCTCCACTGGCTGCCGATATGCTACCGGGCTCAATTCAAAGTGCTGGCGTTGGCCTTTAAAGCCCTAAACGGTTCTGGCCCAACTTATCTATCCGAACGTATCTCAGCCTATCAGCCCACCAGGACCCTAAGATCTTCTGGAGAGTCCCTGCTCTCTATCCCTCCAGCTTCAGAAGTGCGGCTGGCGGGAACGAGAGACAGGGCCTTCTCTGTGGTGGCCCCCCGGCTTTGGAACACCCTCCCTATAGAGGTACGATCAGCCTCTTCGCTGATGGTGTTTAGGAAGAGATTGAAAACATGGTTGTTTAAACAAGCATTCGGCTAATCTGTGGCAATCGAATTTTGATGACTAAGGACAGGAAATATGGACAACGAATTCTGGATTATGATTTTAATTCGAGATATATGGGATTATTATTGGTGGCCCAATAATCTGTACTGTATGTGTATATGTTTTTAAATTGGAGATTGTTTTTAATTGCTGTAAACCGCAATGAGTCGCCGATCCAGGCTGAGATATTAGCGGTATACAAGTGTATTAAATAAATAAATAAATAAATAAATAAATAAATATTGCTATAGAGAGATGAATGGCCAAAACTAACAAAATGAAGTTCAACAGGGACAAATGCAAGATACTCCACTTTGGCAGGAAAAACGAAATGCAAAGATACAAAATGGGGGACGATGCCTGGCTCGAGAGCAGTACGTGTGAAAAAGATCTTGGAGTCCTCGTGGACAACAAGTTAAACATGAGCCAGGAATGTGATGTGGCGGCAAAAAAAGCCAATGGGATTTTGGCCTGCATCAAGAGGAGCATAGTGTCTAGATCTAGCGAAGTCATGATCTATGACAGTCTATCTATGTATCTATTCATGTCTGTCTGTCTATTGATCGATAGATCTATCTATCTATATCAACTATCTATCTTTACATCTCTGTCTTTCTGCCTGTCTGTCTGCCTATCTAGCTAGCTAGCGTTGCCTGCCTCTTTCTCTGTCCCTATCTTTCCATCCATCCATCCATCCATTCATCCATCATGTTTTGAATCAGTTTGTCTGTCTAGTTATTCGCTCTGTCTCTTTTTCTCCAACCTGTCTGTCTTATATTTTTTACCACCCCCCACCTCATATTTCTGGATAACATTCAAGCAAACATGGGCTCTTTAGGTAATGAATGAATGCAAACCAATTTAAACTGGACTAAGATAACCATGTAAACCAATTTAAACTAGACTAAGATAATTCATTGGAATGCCTTTTAAAAATGCCTAAAAGCAGTTTAAAAACATCCCGTGGGTAGAGATAATGCTTTGGGTGTAACTATATTACAAAACAGGCATGGGCAAACTTCAGCCCTCCAGGTGTTTTGGACTGCAACTTCCACCAATGGTGGGAGTTGCAGTCCAAAACACCTGGAGGGCTAAAGTTTGCCCATGTCTGCTATATAATGAATGACATTTGATCCCACGTTGATTGCTGTGGTGCAGTAATATGGAACATGCAGTTTTACAAGATCTTTCCTGTCTTTTCTGCCCAAGAGTGCTGGTACCTGGTCAAACTATGACTCCCAGGATTCTGCAGCATTGAGCCAAGGCAGTTCTCAAAGTGCATTAATTCTCCAGCGCCCGTTGCTCTTACCTGGAATGAAGTGTTGGGGTGTATATTGACGCGGGCCTGGAGCCATCCCTGTCCTTTGTTGCCGCTCGAAGACCAGAAAGGACTTTCGAGGGTGGTCTGACTTTTCAACCGCAGGTAAACATTCAACGTTCCTTGAGGGCAAAAGAGACAAGCACAGGGACATCCATCATTTCAGAAGGCATCTCACCATAAGCTTCTTTACCAACTGACTTATCTCCTTTCCTGCATTGGGTCAGCTTTTGCAAAGTGTTGCAGAAATGGCACGTCTTAAATGCATGGTCAATTTCCACCAGAAGTTGGCCATAAATACATGCAGGAGGACCTGAACGTTCCTGAAGCTTCCCATGCGGGAAGACCTGAAGCTTCTCTAGCTTCCTACAAGGGTTGAATGAAAAGTAATGCCTCCACCTTCGTTACTTGGGTTTGGATGGGAATATTTTAATAAATCAAATGCAGAAATAATACTTAGAACAGTGGTTCTCAACCTTCCTAATGCCGCAACCCCTTAATACAATTCCTCGTATTGTGGTGACCCCCAATCATAACATTATTTTCGTTGCTACTTCATAACTGTCGTTTAGCTCCTGTTATGAATCGTAATGTAAATATCTGATATGCAGGATGTATTTTCATTCACTGGACCAAATTTGGCACAAATACCCAATACGCCCAAATTTGAATACTGGTGGGGTTCGGGGGGGGGGGATTGATATTGTCATTTTGGAGTTGTAGTTGCTGGGATTTATAGTTCACCTACAATCAAAGCGAATTCTGAACTCCACCAATGATGGAGATGAATCAAACTTGGCATACAGAACTCACATGACCAATGAAAAATACTGGAAAAATAGATGAGCTTTGACCTTGAGTTTGGGAGTTGTAGTTCACCTACATCCAGAGAGCACTGTGGATGCTGGGCCAAACTTGGCACAATGATGGATCTGGGCCAAACTTGGCACAAATACTTCATATGCCCAAAGCTGATCACTGGTAGAGTTAGGGGGAAATAGACCTTGACATTTGGGAGTTGTAGTTACTGGGATTTATAGTTCACCTACAATCAAAGAGCATTCTGAACCCCATCAATGATAGATCGGGCCAAACTTCCCACACAGAACCCCCATGACCAACAGAAAACACTGTGTTTTCTGGTGGTCTTTGGCGACCCCTCTAATATCCTCTCGTGACCCACTCAGGGGTCCCGACCCCCAGGTTGAGAAACTCTGCCTTACAATGTGCTCTTTATCTACCACTATTCACTTTTCCACATAGTCACCAAACAATTGGGTACATTTCTGCCAACGATGAACTAGTTTTCTGAAGCTGTCACATAAGAAGAAGTCAACACACTGTTTCCGCAACCAGCGTCTCACAGTTCTTTCATCCTGGGTACCCATCGTGCACAGATCTTGCGATAGCCAAACAAAGTAATAATGTGACCCACACATTCTTGTGAGATGCCAATTATGCTTGAAATTTCTCTCTGAGTGATATGACAATTGTCCTGAATCAATCTGCCAACCTTTTGCATGTGAAACTCAGTGGTTGCTGTCACAGGACGTCCAACTCTTTGTTTGTCACGCAAGTCAGATGTTGCCACCTCAACATCTTTAAACTTACTCCCCCAACAGCACACAGTACTCACATCAACACAATCCCCATAAACAGCTAGCACTCTCATATGAATCTCCTTTGTGGTGACACCTTCTGCCATCAAGAATTCTATGACTGCACGTTGCTTAAGTCGCATTGACCAACCGTCTGTGCAGGGTTCTATACTTCGCACTTTAACAACACAACCGTTCAATGCCAAGGCTTCCTGCCAAAATGGAACTGTAGAGGAGAGTCTGCTGAACAAGCCAGTACCAGCCGCATACCAGTACTGCCATCTGTTGAGGAGTTACGAAGGTGGAGGCATTACTTTTCATTCAACCCTTGTACAGTAGGTTTGCATGGTATAAAGGCACCAATTGCCTTATGCAGTCCTTGTGGTAGAACAATAACATTATTTATTCTTAATGACCATCCTTAATGGGAGATCAAACGGGTACAGCCATCTTTCCCATATCCCCAAATCCATGCTTAATTTTGCCTTCTTCTGTAAGGGACACCATTTCACTCAACCATTCTATCTAATTGTCTAAATTCTTCATCCAAATGACTTAATTATCTGGATTTCCAATCATGATGGTAGTCAAGGCAAAGCAGTCATCATTAGGCCATGGTTCTCCATTGTGTACCCATGAATTTGGATCTACCATGCAATACCACAGTCCCCATTATCCACAGGAACAATACTAATGGTTTCACTTATCTACGGTTTCATTTATTCACTCACTAGCTGTACCCGCCATGCCACGCGTTGCTGTGGCCAACCTCTCTTTCTCTCCTTTTTTCCCTCCTTCCTTCGCTCCCTCTTTCCTTTCTTCCTTCCCTTTTCTTCTTTCCTTCTCTCCTTCCCTCCTTCTCTACCTCTTTCCTCCCCCCTTTTCCTTTTCCTTCCCTTTCTCTCCTTTCTTCCCTCTCTACCTCTTTCCTTCCTTCGCTTTTTGCTTCCATCCTTCCTCCTTTCTTCTTTCCTTCCCTCCCACTTTCTCCCCATCTTTCCCTCCTTCCTTTGCTCCCTCTTTCCTTCCTTTCCTTTTTTCTTTCCTTCTCTCCTTCCTTCCTTCTCTACCCCTTTCTTTCCTTCCCCTTTTCTTTTCCTCTTTCTCTCCTTTCTTCCTTCTCTCTTTCCTTGCTTCCTTTTTCCTTCCTCCTTCCTTCTCTCTTTCCTTCCTTCCCACTTTCTCCTTCCTTTCCTTTCTTTGCTCCCTCTTTCTTTCCTTCCTTTTTTCTTTCTTTCTCTCCTTCCTTCCTTCTCTATTTCTTTCCTTCCCCCTTTTCTTTTCCTTCCTCTCTCTCTCCTTTCTTCCTTCTCTACCTCTTTCCTACCTTCCTTCACTTTTTGCTTCTTTCTTTCTTTTTTTCTCTCTCCCCTTCCTTCTCTCCCTCTGCCTTCCTTTTTTCTGTATCATCATTTAGCTTTTTGGGGTCTTTAAGTTCTTTCCCCTGGTTTTTTTTTTGGGGGGGGATGTTATGAGTGATGGTCACTCATTGGTCTGTTAGGGGTATAGTGTCCAAATTTCATGTCAATTTGTCCAGTGGTTTTTGAGTTATGTTCATCCCACAAACTAACATTAATTTTGTTGGGTTGTTGTAGGTTTTTTTCAGGCTATATGGCCATGTTCTAGAGGCATTCTCTCCTGACGTTTCGCCTGCATCTATGGCAAGCATCCTCACCTCTGAGGATGCTTGCCATAGATGCAGGCGAAACATCAGGAGAGAATGCCTCTAAACCATGGCCATATAGCCTGAAAAAACCTACAACAACCCAGTGATTCCGGCCATGAAAGCCTTCGACAATACATTTAACATTACATTTTTATTTATATAGATGGCATGGGCTCCACCTTCTCCACATCTCGAGAGCAGTAGGTGTGAAAAAGATCTTGGAGTCCTCGTGGACAACAAGTTAAACATGAGCCAACAATGTGATGTGGCGGCAAAAAAAGCCAATGGGATTTTGGCCTGCATCAATAGGAGCATAGTGTCTAGATCCAGGGAAGTCATGCTACCCATGCTCTATTCCGCTTTGGTTAGACCACACCTGGAATATTGTGTCCAATTCTGGGCACCACAATTCAAGAGAGATATTGATAAGCTGGAATGTGTCCAGAGGAGGGCGACTAAAATGATCAAGGGTCTGGAGAACAAGCCCTATGAGGAGCGGCTTAGGGAACTGGGCATGTTTAGCCTGAAGAAGAGAAGGCTGAGAGGAGATATGATAGCCATGTATAAATATGTGAGAGGAAGCCACAGGGAGGAGGAGGGAGCAAGCTTGTTTTCTGCTTCTTTGGAGACTAGGACGCGGAACAATGGCTTCAAACTACAAGAGAGGAGATTCCATCTGAACATGAGGAAGAACTTCCTGACTGTGAGAGCCGTTCAGCAGTGGAACTCTCTGCCCCGGAGTGTTGTGGAGGCTCCTTCTTTGGAAGCTTTTAAACAGAGGCTGGATGGCCATTTGTCAGGGGTGATTTGAATGCAATATTCCTGCTTCCTTCATAGGGCTTGTTCTCCAGACCCTTGATCATTTTAGTCACCCTCCTCTGGACACATTCCAGCTTAGAGTCAATATCTCTCTTGAATTGTGGTGCCCAGATTTGGACACAATATTCCAGGTGTGGTCTAACCAAAGCGGAATAGAGCATGGGGAGCATGACTTCCCTAGATCTAGACACTAGGCTCCTATTGATGCAGGCCAAAATCCCATTGGCTTTTTTTGCCGCCACATCACATTGTTGGCTCATGTTTAACTTGTTGTCCACGAGGACTCCAAGATCTTTTTCACACGTCCTGCTCTCAAGCCAGGCCTCATCCCCCATTCTGTATCTTTGCATTTCATTTTTCCTGGTAAAGTGGAGTCTCTTGCATTTGTCACTGTTGAACTTCATTTTGTTAGTTTTGGCCCATCATCTCTCTAATCTGTCAAGATTGTTTTGAATCCTGCTCCTGTCCTCTGGAGTCTTGGCTCTCCCTCCCAATTTGGTGTCATCTGCAAACTAGATGATCCTGCCTTCTAGTCTTTCATCTAAGTCAATAATAAAGATGTTGAACAGGACCGGGCTCAGGACGGGAAAACCCTCCGGATGGCCCTCCACTCGTCACTTCTTTCCAGGATGAAGAGGAAGCCTTCGGGAGAATCACCCTCTGGGTTCGTCCATTTAGCCAATTCCAGATCCACCTCACCGTAGTTTTGCCTCGCCCACATTGGAATAGTTTGTTTGATGATGATGATGATGTCTTATGGTTAGACATGAGCCACTTGGGGTCCCTTCCTTATGGTGAAAATGTGGGACATAAATAAATAATCTGCATAAGTAAAGGTAAAGGTTTTCCCTGACATTACATCTAGCCATGTCCGATTCTGGGACTCTGGTGGTCATCTCCATTTCTAAGCTGAAGAGCCGGCATTATCTGTAGACACCCCCAAGGTAATGTGGCCAGCATTACTCTATGGAGTGCCCTTACCTTCCTGCTGGAGCAGTACCTATTGATCTACTCACATTTGCATGTTTTTGAACTGCTA